GAATTGGTAAAAGCTGTGTATTGAATTCCCCAAACTATACCCATTATAGTTTACTTGAAATGTTATGTAATTGGTTTGTAAACTGTTCTAAAAACTATGAAATTGTGTTTCCAAAATAAAAGTGTCCCTTATGCTCAACATAGTACAAAAGGGATAAAATATCTAAATATTTTATAAAACGTGAAAATCGTTTGACTGTATTAATAAGTTTAAAACTTGTTAAAATCATTTGTGTTTGGCTTGTATTCTCCCCTGAAAACATTAAAAATCGTAAAAGCGTAGGGGTATGAACTCACTGTTAGTAGCGTGCAAACGTCGAATCAACGAATTGAAATGAAGACCCTCGAGTTGTAGCGCGTGGCACTTAACGGAATCCTAATAACAATTAAATACATTTATGTATTTAAATTAGTGATTTCGCTAGATAAAGTGTAGAAAAACACTTGAGTTCGGTTAATGAATGTTACCGGGACTTGATCGAATCGAGTAAAGTGGGTTTTCAGTCTAAATCACTGCTTAGGAAGTGTGTACGGTCGTGAACGGGGTTTACGGCCATGAACAAGGTGTACGGCCGTGAACAGGGTGTACGGCCGTGAACTGGTGTGCAACCTTTGTAGGTGTACGGCCGTAGACTGGTGTGCGGTCAATGAACTTGAAGGTGTACGACCGTACACTCAAGAACAAAGATGCTGATTTCAACGAGAAACGTGTTCTAGATGCTCCGAAATGACACCCAATGGTGATTCTCGATGTTTTCTGGAAGGATAAAGGTGTTTTTAGGGGTGTACGGTCGATAGTCTAGAGAGAAAATGAGAGAGTGTCCGGTCAGAAAAGTGTAAATGAGGGGGTTGGGTCTCATATTTATAGGGGTTGTCGTTGGTCGGTGGTGGGGTCCACCCAACGCCGGCCGTAAACGAGTGTACGGCCGTACACGGGTGTACGGCCGTGAACTCAAGTCAGGCCGTGAACTCGGTCTTGTTCGAAGGAATTCCCGAAATTTCGCGTGGTTTTGGTTCCGACTCGAATATAGAATTTAAAATATATAGTTAAATGATTTTCCAAACCGAAGGAAGTTGACGGAACCTAATAAAATAAAATTTTATTAACGGAAACTAGAAAAAGGTTCGGGTTGTCACAAGATCAAAAAGAACAAAAGATCAAGGTGAAGAGAAGAAAGAAGATTGACGTGAAAGAAGTCAGGTGTTTAGGGTTCGGGTCGAATAATATTAAGGGGTCTCTTATACCATATTGTTGGTATATTTTCCCATAATCGTATTGTATTCATTATAGTGTTTATATACATATTACATGAGAAAAGGGCATATGGGCCTTTGAAAACTAACTAATACAAATATTATACACTAACACACACTCCTACTTATAATCTATTACCGACTAACATTTCATATTGACGACTTTATTCTATATAGATGTACATTGACGTATAGACAAGAGAGGTTTTACTTATCTATTTACTTCTTATTTTTTATGTTGGAGGTCATCATCAAAAGTAGTCCCCTACCATTGATACGACCGTTATTTCTTAGTTTCGTTTTACTTCTTATTTTCTATGTTCATTTCTGTTGTATATATAATCTTTAGTCATTGAAACATCGGTATGCTTTCCAGGCAAAGTAGGGATACTCTGTTCTTTCCCGTTGTATATATAGTCATCAGTCTTGGACACATCGGTGTGCTTTTCTGGCAAAGTGGGGACACTCTGTACATTGCCGTTGTATATATAGTCGCCAGTCTTGGACACATGGGTGTGTTTTCCAGGAAAAGTAGGGGTACTCTGTTCATTCCCGTTGTATATATAGTCGTCAGTCTTGGACACATCGGTGTGCTTTCCGGGAAAAGTAGGGATACTCTGTTCATTCCCATTGTATATATAGTCGTCAGTCTTGGACACATCGGTGTGCTTTTCCGGCAACCGTTTATTCCTGTTATATATATAATCGTCAGTCATGGACACATCAGTGTGCTTTCTTGGAAGAATTGGGGTACTTTGGTCATTCCCGTTATATATATAATCGTCAATCGTGGACACATCGTTGTGTTTTCCCTTCTTTCCAGGCTGAATAGGGATACTCTGTTCATTCCTGAAGAAATTTTCTGGATCGACAGCTGTCTTCACCTTCACCAATCTATCAAAATTCTTATTGAAATATTTCTCCCCGTAAACCTTACCGGAGGTAAACCCATCACCTTTATTCACACCAATATCTAAATCTCTGTAATTCACGAACGCGCTTCTTGGATTCTTCGCTACATAGTTAGTCATGAAATCATACATAACCCTAGACTGATTCATGTTGTTTTCGGTTACTTTCGGATTACCGTCAATCCAACTCAATGAATATTGCACCTTGAACAGGTTTCCGGCACGGTGAGGAAATGGAGTTGCGTTTGCCGGAATTTCATTCATTTTCCCGCCGTACGGGTTGAAAACCAGACCAATTTTACCAAGTTCACCCAACTTGTTGAATATGGACGTTAATCCTGTCGTTGGTATAGGGGTTTGTACGTAATCAGACTTTCGTTTCAAAAACTTAACAACATCAGTGTGCCGATCGATGAGGATATCTAACTTTGTCTTGTTGTAATCGAAGTTTGACCAAAAAAGAGTGGATTGAATCCAACTTACTTCGAAGCAATCTTGTTTCTTTAATCCTAGTTCCGGGAAGCTTTTACCCATTAAACCCAGCAACCTGGTGGAATCACCCAAGAAAAGGGCCATAAATGTAGCCTGGGCAGTGTTCTTGTTTTTCTCCTTCGCCGGCTGTAGTAAAACTCTAATAAACAAATCTGGGTCGATTGTAGACATAACCGACTGCCATTTAAAAACGATGTCTACCGCTTTTTCTTCCGTCGTTTTCGTTACCTTGAAAACAGTAGTAACCTTCGGTACCGGAACTAGTTTCACGGTGAAGGACAATATGACACCAAAACTGGAGCCGCCGCCGCCGCGTATGGCCCAAAAAAGATCCTCACCCATTGCTTTCCGATCCAAAATCCGACCTTTAACATCGACGATCTTGGCATCAATCACATGATCAACAGTCAACCCGTATTTTCGAATCATGGTGCCATAACCACCGCCGCTTATATGTCCACCAACACCGACTGTCGGACATGCTCCGGCCGGGAACCCATGCACCTTACTCTTTTCCCAAATCCGATAATACAAATCACCTAATTGAGCTCCGGCTTGGACCACCGCAGTTTCGTTGGCGACATTAACATCAACTGCACGGAGATTAAACATGTCGATTATCATGAACTGTGTTTTTTCAGACGAGGTGTAGGAGACTCCTTCATAATCATGTCCTCCGCTGCGAATCCTAATCTGGATATTGAGTTTCTTGGCGCAGATGACGGCAGCTTGCACGTGAGTTTCTTTATTTGGAGTGATGATGATGGCAGGCTTGGGTGTGGAGGTGGCATTGTAACGGAAGTTTTTGATGTGGTCCATTAGAACTTTGGTATAGGCGGAGGAGTTAGCGGCGGAGCTGTAAACGACTGAAGAGAATGTTTTGTCAGGTTGAGGGGATGATGTTGGAAGGCATTCGAGAAAGGATTTGTAGAGGGAATTAGGATCCGAAGGCCCTTTTGGTGGGGAGGTCCCTTTTGGTGGTAGGGAGGTCCCTTTTGATAGGGATGACCCTTTTGGTAGGGGAACAACTTTTGGTAGGAAGGGCCCTTTTGGTAGGGAAACTCCTGGTAGGGAAAAGCAAGGACAACAACAAATGAAGAACAATAGGGAAAAAAGCAAAATCGATGACATGATTTCTTCTTGTTTTAGAAAAAGGTGATGACTAATATTTATAGTAGTGAAAAATACGTAAAGAAACTCTATTTCATATGAACATTTCTTTTTAAAAAATAAATTGTTTACGTCATTTTCTCTAAAAATAATATCTTTGTAGGATTTATTTTTTATTAGTTATAAAAGAGTACCAGTTTTGTGGCATGATTTAAAAATTCAAATTTAAAAATTATATTCTAATAACGTTATTTCAAATCCTTGATATTTGATATATTGACACACAATTGGAATTTTGTTGACATCCTTTCATGTTTCTATGATTTACAACGTTTTGAAAGGTATTGTATACTTCAATTATATGTTTATAGATAATCCCTCATGTCTTTAAACACAAATTTCTGTATTGATTTTAACATTTGGTTTTTTAAATACAGAAACATGAAATTTCGTACATACTAATATATATGTAATATTGTCATAGGCACATTATACACAATTTAAAATTTATAATAACTATTTTTTTAATATGTATTTCCATCCATACATAAGACAACTTTGTTTTGGGTTGTTTAGGTACATTTTTTTTGCAACAAAAAATAAATAAATAAATAAATAATTCAAAGTAATTTCTGGCCATCCGTTGGTGTTTGGCGATAGAAAGCATATCACAATTTGCTTGTGATTGGTAAACCTGATTAAATATTGGATGAACCTCGTTATACTGATCGGCCGGTATTTGGCAGTGTTTGGCAAGTATTGACACTGGTTCTATTTAATTTGCGTTCATTTCGACTTTATCTTTTTTTTTTTTGGGTGGTCAACACATTTTGTCCATTTTCAGTGCATAGTTGTTATAGTTGGTTTTATGTTTAACGGGATTATATAACTACTAGAAAACTTAAGAAATTCCAGTCGAAAATATATAGAAAACCGGTAGAAAACTGGTAATTCTGGCAATATCCGACAAAAACAATTTCATCGGTAATATGTCCTTGGAAACTTCATCCGACAAATTTCAACAAAAGTTAAAGATTCTCTTCCTATAGAAATAATCAATCGGAAGTTCCGACAAATTTCCTACGTGCAGAAGATATTTTCTTAAATTTTTGACCAAAAATATTTTCGACTTGTTTTTGTCCATCGACTCGTTTCTCTCAATAAATCTTTAACGACCTTGAGATGAAATTCAGCACCTTTAGCCATTTGATAAGATTTCTCAACAATACTCCACGACTCATTGCGTTGTAAACCACAACATATTCAACCATTATTGTTGAGGTAGTCGTCAGTCTTTGGCTAAAGCTCTTGTAAGTAATTGGCCAACTTGATAGCTTAAAAATCTATCCCATGGTCGAATTATTAAAGTCTTTGCAGTTTGGCAAATTCGTAATCAAAATAATCATAACCTCTAAAACTCGTAATACGTCACGGTCAAGCTGGAGGATTCCCATTGCCAGAAGTATAACCTAAAAAAACATTTATACATAACTGTAAGCATAAAACTTAGTGTGTTCCCTAAAATACCATATATCAACATTACACATAAAATGCATACAAACAATGCTCATAGTCTACACCTCAAAGGGCCTACAGGTACAAGGCCATCATCCCAAATACCTGATGACATCGTCCTAATTTGCGGCTCTTGGTGATGACATAAACTGACTCATAACACTTACCGGAAAAGCGATGTTTGATCGAGTAATCGTAAGATAATTTAACTTCCCAACAATTCTTCTATATTTTTTTGGATTTTCAATTGGTTCTCATCATCTGCTTTCAATTCACATTAGGTATCATAGGAGAATTGCACGGTCTTGCATCAGTCAATCTTGATTCATTTAGTACGTCTAAACAATATTTTGTTGGGTTATGAGCATTCTAACACTCCTAAGTGTACATGCAACCCTAAATACCTTGGATCTATGT